GGGCATGCGTTCAGATCCTTGTACGCACCGCGGAAGAGGATGCAGTCATGAGGGCATGCATGTATCTTCTGCACCTCCAATCCTAGAGGGCATACGACCTTCTTTGCTGCATATGTACTGTCGGGCAATTCGTTATCCTTTGGAAGCTTCTTCTTCAATATTTTCAATAGCTTCTCAAATCCTTTGTCAGACACAGCATTCTCTGCCTTCCACTGCAGCAATTCCAGTACAGTACCGAGCTTTGTGTTGCCATCTTCGCAATTGGGGTACAACCCTTTTTTGTGGTCCTCTAACATGCGATCGAACTTCAGCTTCTCATTTTGACTTTCGCATTGCATCCTTGCATCGACAATGACCCGGCGGAGATCATCATCATCGGGCACATCGTCTGGTTCCTCTTGATCTTCAGCAGCTTCGCCCGTTGCAGCAACATCGTGCATATCGTCTGGTTCCTCTTGATCTTCAGTAGCATCACCGTATTCAGGGAGCACATAGTTGTCATCGTACTCTACTTCTTCATCGTCTTCCATCATAACCCCTATTTCTCTGTGCCTCGTCCAAACATTATAGTGTGGCATGAAACCCTTGTAAAGCAGGTGGGTGTGGAGGACTTTCCGGTCAGAGTAAGACTTCGTATTCCCACATATAGGGCATGGACAACACATAAAACCATTATGCTTGTTTGCCTCAGCCACTTCGAGAAAATCATGCACGCCCTTAATGTATTCGGAGGTGTGTCTTGAACCGTACATCCATTGCCGGTTCATCTGCGTGCATTATATATAATTAAGTGTGTCAAAAATCATTACAGAACATCATGAATAGATAATTAAGTGACCAAATTAATAAAAGTTCATCATCACATTAAAACCAAAGTACATACATAGTTCTCATCTAACAACATAAAGCTCTGCAGAGCATCTAAATTAATTAAACCATACACTGAAACTATGTAAAACATTTCAATGCGAAAACAAATATGATCATAATTGCAACCAATGTAACAACTGATCCAACGGCATAATGATACCAAGCCTCGGTATGAATGGCATATTTTCTAATCTTTCTAATCTTCAAGCGCATTGCATCGATCTTGATCTTGTGATCATCGACGACATCCGCAACATGCAACTCCAATATCATCTTCTCCTCCTTAATTTTTCTTATTTTTTCCTTCAACAAATTGTTTTCTTCTTCAACTAAATTTAACCTCTCGACAATAGGGTCGGCTGGAATTTCCGGTTCAACAACCTCCTAGATAAATAAAATTTATGTCACGTTGGTCGGCATAATTGTCATAAACAATAAATGAACCAATAGTTATGAAAAAATAATATATACCACATCTGAATCATAGACAGGACGAGGGCCAACGGGGGCGGATACCAAAACCATCGCACTATATAAGATGCAATAATAAAAGTAAGAAAATTATACAAGTATCTATATAAACATACAAGTAAGAGTTTTTTTTTTCTTTCAGAAAGAAGATAAGAACAAGAGGCTCACCACGGTGGTGCCGGCGGCGAGATCGGCGCGGGCGATCGACGGCGGTGAAGACGGGGACGGGACGTGACGGACCGCTAAACCTAGACAAATATTAAGAAAAATGGAGCTTGGAGGTGGAGCTTGGAGAGGAGAAAGCTTAAGTAGTGTGGCTCGGGCATTCCATTGAACACCTCGTGGGCATAGGAGGTGAGCTAGAGCACCACAAAGCTCTCTCCTCGCCAGACACGAAAAACAGAGCAGTGAGAGTGCTCTGCTCGCGGGGTATATATAGGCAATTAATTGGTCCCGGTTCGTGGCTTGAACCGGGACTAAAGGGAAGCCTTTGGTCCCGGTTCATTCCCCCAACCGGGACCAATGGTGGTGGGCCAGGAGCAAGGCACATTGGTCCCGGTTCGTCCCACCAACCGGGACCAAAAGGTCCAGACGAACCGGGACCAATGGCCCACGTGGCCCGGCCGGCCCCCGGGGCTCACGAACCAGGTCCAATGCCCCCATTGGTCCTGGTTCTGGATTGAACCGGGACTAATGGGCTGACCCGGCCTGGACCATTACCCCCTTTTCTACTAGTGTAAAGACTCTTACGAACCGGGACAAATGCCCCATTTTCTACTAGTGGAGGCAACTTGCTGAAGGCACATGAAACATCTATGTAAAACACACGCCGGCACGTACACGTGTATGTATAAATGGCATGAATATGTTTACACATGTGTGTTCCTCTTCAACCCAAGCTACCATGCCATGCTGTGACGGAGCTAGACAGGCAATGCTGGAGGGGCAAAAGGCAACTATAGCAATCTCTGAGGGGGCCATACACACCGCTAGCTTTTTAGTACTTCCTTCATTTCATATTAGTTGTTTAGTATTATTCCCTTCGTTCGAAAATAGAACTGCGACACTTATTATGGATTGGAGCGAGTAATATGGAACGGAGGGGCATGGACACGTGTATGTATTCTGTTGTCTCTTGTGGGTTTTGGTCGGTGGACAAATAAGTATTTGTAACATTGTAGGTGTAGGAGTACCGGCCGGCCAGCAGACTTGTTAAGTTCAGAACGACGGCCTACCGGTATAAGAGAAGCAGTAGTACTATTCTTCAAGGGAGCTCCAGCTGCGGACGCACGTCATGCAGATGTGTGTAAAGGTGACATCGGGCGGGTCGTCCGGCCGGAACGACGATGACATGCGTGCATGCAGCTCATGCATGCAATGCAAAGTCACCGCGAGATTGCTTGGTTACGGGTGCTTCATATATTCCCGGGTCGAAAGAAGCTGGCCAAATGTCTGAACGGCAACAAAAGGTGTGTTAATGTATGTGCGCGACTTGATTAACTATTCGGAATGGGTAGTGCGTGCATGTGACCTCTAGGTTCCATATTGTGGCTGTACTGCACGGCTCCCGTTGCACGCATATGTTCTTTCCATCATGATCTAGGGTATGATGTGATGAATATAAACTAATCACGTGATGCGGAAAAAAAACTAATCAGGGAGCCGGCAATCACATGGTTAGGCTTAAGTACTTCTCAAACGTACTCCCTTCGTCTAGGTGCATAAATCATTTTAGGTTGTGCACCGTGACCAAGGCAAAGTGAAAAACGAGATGACTTAATGTTTATTTAATAATTAATAGCATCACATGCAATGAACTGACCACTGTATGTCGTTTTTGGTAGTCTCAAGTCATTAAAAGCATGTAAGCCCCATATCTTTTATTGGTTGATTCCTTTGTTTATGTGAAGAAACAAGAAACGAGATGAAAGTTAATGTACTGCGCCTAAGTGTTTTGGGATTATTTGGTTTTCGTAAGGTGACTTATACACCTAGACGGAGGGAGTATCTTCTTTGCTAGTAGGTGCGATGCATAAACTTTACCCTCATTTATAGGTTCATTATGGTAATATATAACTTTTCTGAAGCAAAGGACATTCTACATTTATAGCCTATAGGTTCATTGTTTTATAAAATGAGTAGGAGATTAAATAAGAAACAAATATGAGCCTGATGTTTGTTTAAGGGAATGAGCCTAATCTTTTTAGAAATGTGTAAAGTGGTATATTTTAGATGGAAGGCTAAAAAAGAGTTAAGTATAAATATGAAGTTTTTAATATTAAAAATATATTTGATTAAGAGTTTAAGATGGCATTATGCTGGTTCAAAAAAGAAAACAAGTAAATGGTCGCTACGTACTCCCGGGCAAAAGGGGGGTAAATGGTTCCTACAACACTTGTGAGGAGGATGAAAAGGAAACATGGGCAGACGAGAGCTGCGAAAGGGAAAGTTTCCGAGCGTCCCCTCCTCCCGCTGGTGAGGGCATGGACCAGCCTCCTCCGCTCGCTTCGATGGCGGGAGGAAGTGGGGATCCCGTTCCTCTGCTTGAGGCGTGTAGCTAGGGTTAGGGTAGTCCGATGCAGCGTCGATTCGGGGATGTGGTCGTCGCCACTCGAGAGGAATAAATCCACGGCTTCTTTCCCTTGTCAACGTTGGTGGTTCCGGCATGAGGGCGGCGTTGCTCTCCTGCTGATCTACGGATCCGCTCATGGTTTGGATCCCAGGGCCGTCGGTGGCAGCGGCAGTCTGTGGGATGTTTTTGACACGTGTGGGTCTCCGAATCGCATGATTTCTTCGATCCTCGGGCTAGTCGGCGAAGCGACGCCGGTGACTATGCCTTGTGAGTATCATCCTCTCCTCCCTCTACGTCGTGGCACCGACGAGTTTCCCATCAGCGGCGTAGAGGTTGGGTCCCGGTGTGATAGTGAGGGTCGATCTCTGGATTTCCGTGAAGATTCGTCGGCGGTGGCTGCCTCTCTGGTGTGCTAGTCCTTCATGGCCCAGGTTGGTGACTTCGAGTCCGTCATGACTGTCTACATGAGGGTGTTGGCTCCAGGAGGAGCGGAGACGACGTCGGCGCGCCCTCGACCCGATCCAACTAATGTGGTCTTCGATGAGTTGTCTAAGGACCTCGTCGTAAATTTATTTACCTTCGGGGTACGTTGTAGCTTTGTACTACAACATCGGAATTTTCAATATAATCATATTCATGAGGTCCTTTTCGCGAAACAAAAATAGAAAATATTTTGGATCAGAAGGCTAAAGATAGATTTTTAATCAATGTAAATATAGAAATGTAGATAATTAAACAGTTGTCTGGTTCCAAGGAAATTAAATAGAAGGAAGTAAATGGTTGCTAGAAAACAGGAGCCTTGGCCACGAAGCAGCTGGCTGACGATTCTCTGCTCCGCTCAGCCCCAGCTCCACCCGCGCCAAGTAGCCGTTGAACCGCGCCTTCGTCCCCGACCCACCAACGATCGCCTTTAAACTTTTCTTTATTTTTTGGAAAGAAACGGCAGCCGGTGGTCGTCGTCTTAAAACCGAGCCCCGCCACTCTGTCGCCCACCGCGCCTCCACTCCTCCTCTGCAATTATAGCCAGGCCTCCTCCTTCCCCAGCCCAACGTCACTCCCTACCCCGCGTCCGCCAAGAAAACCAGCCATGGCGACAATGCCGCCGGACCAACAACGCGCCGCCGTGTCCGAGCCCCTGCCCCCCTGGCCAGCCTCCCTCCCCTCCTCCGCCTCCTCCTCCTTCTCGGCGTCGGCGTCCTTCCCCTCCTTCTCGGCGTCCTCCTCCCCGGCCGACGCAGCGCCGACGCCGGTGCGCGCCGACTCGTCGGCGGCGTGCAAGGCGCTGGCCGTGCTGAGGGACGCGCACAGGCCGGGCGCCGGCTCCGTGTCATGCCTCTCGCTCTGCGGCGAGTTCCTGCTCAGCGCCTCCACTGGCTCCGACATCGTCGCCTGGCAGCAGCCCGACCTCCGCCTCTTCGCGCGGTTCGGGCATGGCGGGGAGGGCGCCGTCAAGGCTCTGGCGGCCGCCGGCGGGCGGGTGTTCTCGGCGCACCAGGACGGCCGCGTGCGCGTGTGGCGCGTGTCGCGCAGCTCCGAGAACGCGTTCAAGCTCGTCGCCGCGCTGCCCACCACCAGGGACTACCTGGGCCGCGTGTTCCGCCAGGCCAGCTACGTGCAGGCCGGGCCCCGCCGCGGCCGGCGCGGCGGGCGGCGCCTCTGGATCGAGCACGCCGACAGCATCTCCTGCCTCGCCGTCGCCGCGCAGGACGGCGTCGTCTACTCGGGCTCCTGGGACCGGACGCTCAAGGTGTGGCGCATGTCCGACCTCCGGTGCCTCGAGTCCGTGCGCGCCCACGACGACGCCATCAACGCAGTCGCCGCCGACTGCGGCGTCGTGTACTCCGCCTCCGCCGACGGCCGCGTCAAGGCGTGGGAGAGGGGCAAGGCTGGCGCCGGCACGCACACCCTCCTGGCTGTCCTCGTCGCTCGCGATGGTGTCTCATGGAACGCCGTCGCGGCGAGCGGCGACGCCGGTGCCACGGGGCGGCGCGTGTACGCGGCCGGCTCTGACGGGCACGTCCTCGGATGGGACCGGCACGGCGCGCGGTGGAGCCTCGCGTGCGACGTGAAGGCGCACGCCATGGCCGTGTTGTGCATGTGCGTGGCCGGCGACCTCGTGTGCACTGGCTCCGCCGACAAGACCATCGGCTTGTGGCGCCGGCAGCCGTGCGGCGGCCTCGCCAAGGTGGGCGCCGTCGGAGGCCACGAGGGCCCCGTGAAATGCATCCAGGCCTCCCTGTGCAGGGCCAGCAATGGCTATATGCTGTACACCGGCGGGCTCGACAAGAGCATCAGAGTCTGGTGGGTGCCGAATGGGGCCAACGGCGACGAGCGACCGGGAGAAACGGACGCCAAGGATCACAGGCCCTGCGTGTTCCTGAGGTGAAGCGTGTGATTTGTCCGGCTTGCCTAGAAGAGTGTACATTTTTTTTCGAGAGGATTCTTGGGTCTGTAAAATTTACCCGAGGAAGGGTGTTGTTCAGATTGTTTTGGGGTTTTATAGATTTAAATTTTAGAGGGACACACAAACTAGTCATAGGTTGTTGGGTGTAAAATAGCTGTAAACTGTAAAGTATAGCACTTATACTCTGGTTTCTATATAGGTTTTGATTTTTTTTTTGAATGAGAAAAGTATGGTTTGGTCCCTCAAGTTCACCAAAAGTAGACACTTGATCCCTCAAGAATTTTTGGAAGGCATTTGGTCCCTCAAATCTTAAAACCAAGTAAATTTCATTCAAAACCAGATTTAAGTGCAAAACCGCCCACATGGCAGCGGTTTTCTTTCTCCCCACTTCACGTAGGACACTCTTTGGTCAAACTAATGCCTTACATTCCGTCTCCTCTCTCTCTGTCCCGATTGTGTCGCTGTCGACTTGACCGGCGGCCAGTCTGAGGTGGTCCTTCCTCAGCTGTATCTGGCCTCACATCTCGCTCGACCTTGCAGTTCACAGGTGAGCATCTCCTAGCTGGGAGGCAGCGGGCACAGAGATCGCGGTCGAAGCCATCATGCCTCTGCCCATTTGGTCGCCGTTGGCTTCCTGCAGGGAGATCCGAGGCAGTGTGGTGTCACCGGCTAGGACGGGCCACCGAACAGCACCTCGTCAGACCATGATGTGTGACGGCGGGTGTGACCTCGTCCACGGGAGAGCAGATGGTTGGGTCCGAGGAAGCCACTTTCCGATGCAGCAGAGGGGGATGGAGGCTCGTTGGGGGCAGCTCGCTGGAGCCTGCTGTGGCAGAGACCAAGGGAAGGGAGCAATGTAAGGGTGGTGGCGCAGGAGCCGAATTCCGTAGTGGGAGGTGAGCGCGACACACACAAAGGGGCACTGCGGCTTGCCTTCGTCATCATCCTATGGTCGAGCTTGCCGTCAATAGGAAGGGGGTCGCATGGTGGATGCTGATGGCATGTGTGAGATCGAGGGAGAGAGGGGCGAGGCCTCCCTGCCTTCTGTTGTTGGTGCTGCGGATCCGACCAGTAGATAGTGGATCTCAACAGTGGGAAGAAGGGGAGATGACTGAGTTGCTGGAGCTCCGCCGGTGGTTTAGACATGACCAGAAAGGTTTGTAATGAATGGAAAGGGTTAATATTGCATATCTCTTCCTTATACTCTCTCACTCTTTTGTGATTTTCCTCCTACCCCTTCATGCATTTCTTCTGAATCAAAGCCATTCTCGTGTTCTTTTTTTAGTGAGGACTCGCCCATGTTTATCAAATTGATACAAGATTTTGTCATGGGTTTATTTAAAAATAAATTTATGATTGATAATCATGTACACATCCTCTTTTAAGAAAAGAATCTTCTTTTACATGTAACATGCTTTAGAAATTACTACTCTTGTGTGGACCACCCATACTTGAATAGAACGAGAGCATGTGCTGAAAGTGAACAAACACATGTATTCACAAGCCAATAAAAAGGGAAATTGTAGAAACACGTAGACTCACAAAACAGATAAACGGGCAAGCAGTGAAGTGTCTAACACTCACTATGCCAAAACGATACATATACACACAAATGCTTAATGTCATAGTCTCCAATTTTTGATTCTTCTAGAGATTATGAACATACAAGAATCATACATTGCTTAGGCTTGGAAGTCACCGGGATTCACTCTTCCACATCAGGGAAATATTTCACGAGCAACTTGGTTACTTCAACCTTCTACTTGGGGACTGGTTGGGTGTTTGAGACACCATTCATGTCCAATGTCAAGGAGCACATGATGTTGGTGGGTATATAACATTCTTTCCACTAGCATCATGGAGCACAAACATTTACAACATTGTGCCGATTATTTTTCTATGAACTAGCAAGAACTAGATGTGGGAAAACCCACAACAAGGGCATTCCTATGTAAAACCACATGAATCGTAGATTAGAAGTTTGGTGTAGCAACAATTAAAACATCATTGCCAGGAACACATGCATGGCATAAGATTTAAGCCTTAAGGTACATTGAATTGAAATATTTTCATGAAAAGAAAATGCTTTGTATGGAAATATTTGGATCAACAGAAGGAGATCACTAATAGATTTTTCCCATAGTATGGTGTACGATTCTTTTTAATCAGAAAATATGCACAACCTCCCCCCCCCCCCCAAAAAAAACATGGTGACATGGTCATAAATATGGTCTCCTGGTGATGTTCCACACCCTCTATGGACTACTGAGATGTCACATGAGTATATATACATGAGCACCATGTTTATAGCCACTCACCCAAATTCCCTAATTCTCACTCATGGCATGAACACATTTGTGAGTTAAATGAACCATAGTACTTTCACATGTCATCTTGGTTAGTTATACATAGTAAAACATAGTACTTCATATTTTTGTGAATACAAACTAAAGATATTTCATCATTTACACCTCTTCTTTTATGAAAATAATCTTCTTGTACACCTAAATGTATTTTCGGAATTAATAGTCACAAGGTTGTGGACAATGCGGGCCACTCCTAGTTGAATAGAACGAGTACATGTGCTGAAACTGAAGAAATACATGGACCCCCAAGCTGATACAAAGGAAAATTTAAGAAACACAAATCCACATGCCCATAAAAAGGCAAGCAGTAAGGTGCCATCATACTCACCGTACCCAAACTGTTCACGTAGATCCTCAATTTCGTAGCCTCCGAATTTTGATTCCTCTAGAGATTTTAAACATGCATCGTTCATACAGTGAGAGAGTGTATATTTCACCAAATCCAAATTTGCCCTTAGTCTTGGAAGGCATCATGATTTTCTCTTCCACATCATTGTTCTGTTCCACGAGCAACTTGGTTCCTCAAACCTTGTTCAAAATAACCAGTTGGGTGTTGGAGACACCATTCAAATGCAACCCCAAGGAACACATGAAGTTGATGGGTACATTGCACACTTTCCAATATGATCTGTGGAGCACAAACACCAACAACATTGTGGCAATTGTTATCCAAGAGACTACCAATAATTCGTCGTGGAACAAACCACAACCTGGACATTACCATGTAAAACCCCATTAATTTATGGTCAACATGAAGTGTGTACATTTTACTACAGGAATATTCATGAGTTTGTTTTTACCAGATTAAACGACTTCGAGATTGTTTTTGTTCTGTTTTGATTATCTGGCGCCACTGGATACCTGACATCGTGATTGTTGTAAACTAGCCATAGTTTGGCTACAAAATGGTTGTAAATGGTAAAGTATGTCACCTATACCTTTATTTCTATATAGGTTTTGATTTTATTTAAATTTGTTTTTAGGCACAATCATATAGCTTTCTTTGCGAACTAAATATAGCTTAGGTGGTTAGGTTTCTTGTGTTGAAATCAGCTCACCCGGGTTCAAGTTCTAGAGTTGACATGTGTCAGCTTGCATATTTTCCAGATTTATTTCAGGTTCTTCTGCTATTCTTTCCGCGGTATGGTGTGTCCGTCAATTCAAGCCATCAATGACGACTTCGTCAATCTCAAGATCTGTCGACTCAGTCTCTCGAAAATGCTCACAAGGGTAGGGAGTGCGTACATGTGTTCATATGAGTGAGTATGTGTGCATGTATGCGAGCGTCTGTGGTTGATGCCGTGTTATGTTATTTATCTCTTTTAGCAATCGATATGCCTTTTGCTCCTTCTGAAACAAATCCATCTTCTAAAGTTTGTTTGTACATCCATCTAGAAACAAAGGTTGTTTATTTTCTTAAAATAAAATCATGAGTTGTCCTTAGTACAATATATCCTTTCGAAAACACATTATTCTCATACACCTTGTATGTTAATGTATTATAAAAGAAACACTCGCCTAACAGTACACAATGAAGCTACTGCTTTTTTTAACGTATGAAGCTACTGCTAGTTCACTATGAATGGGTACATGGGCTAAAATTAAAGAAACACATGGCCACACAAGCATATAAAAAGGCACGCAGTGACGTGACCACTGACCACACACTCTCAAAGCCCAAACTATACATACATATGTATGTTACAAACCGCAAAGTCTATCTGTTCTCATTTCTCTAGAGATTGTGAACACACACTGTTCGTACTTTGAATCAGTGGAGATTGCACCACATCTAGATTTGGTGCTTAAGTTTGGAGGGCATCGGAATTTACTCTTTCGCATCATGTTAATATTCCATGAGCAATGTGGTTCTCCTTTCACCTTGTTCAGAATGACCAGTTGGGTGTTGGAGACATCATTCGTGTCCAAACGGAGGAACACATGATGTTGGCGGGTACATAGCATACTAGCATTCTTCCAGACACGATGCGGATGCGGCACAAACACCAGTGACATTGTGGCAACTGTTGTCCTAAAGACCACCAAGAATTCAACATGGAACAAGGTACAATTGGTGTGCTCCCATGTAAAACCACTGGAACCTAGGGATTACAATTTCAGCGTAGCAAAAATAAATTGCTTATGCTTCCTGTTTTGCTAACATGAAGGGGTTCTGCTAATGGAGTAATGCTAAATAAAATGATGCGCATGCCATTATACATTTGTATATAGATGAAATAAAAAGGGCAACCACACATATGGGAAATTTTGTTTTATAATTATAGTATTACAAAGTACAACTTTCCCACATGATTACACACTAGTAGAAAAGGGGGCAATGGTCCAGGCCAGGTCAGCCCATTAGTCCCGGTTCAACCCAGAACCGGGACCAATGGGGGCATTGGACCCGGTTCGTGAGCCCTGGGGGCCGGCCGGGCCACGTGGGCCATTGGTCCCGATTCGTCTTGACCTTTTGGTCCCGGTTGGTTGGACAAACCGGGACCAATGCGCCTCACTCCTGGCCCACCACCATTGGTCCCGGTTGGTGGGACGAACCGGGACCAAAGGCTGCCCTTTAGTCCCGGTTCAAGCCACCAACCGGGACTAAAGGGTTGG